AAGCGAATCTGTTAAATTCTCTTGTAATTTTGCTCCATTCCACATAAAATAATTCAAAGTAACATAAAATATTTTAAAAATCTTTTTAATTTCTCGAAATTGTTTAAAATTTTTGAAATATTTCCTAACAATGATGTTCTGTTTTATTGCTAAATCACAAGGCAGTTAGAAGAAATTCTTAAATGGAAAACACAATAATCCCTATTAACTTCCATAAATATTACCAGAAAGTATGTACTGTACATAGGCCTACATTAATTTACATTTGAAAAATTAATTTAAAATATTTCCTTCTCAGGCTTTAATTTAAAATATTTCCTTCTCAGGTTTTAAGAAAATAAAATTTTAAGAACTTATTAGTTATAGAATCAAACGTTTTGTTTACAACCAATTTTTTCATATATTTTTCCGGAATTTAAAGATTTTCTTTACTAAATTACTTTCTCAATAAGTCAATTAGACTTATAATAAATTAAAATTATATTTAAATTATTATCTAAACTTAGCTCTTATATTTAAGTTGAATCTTTTAAAATAAAATTAAAATGTAAAGAAATTATTTAAAAAAATTAAATAATAAAGAGCTCAGCAGATAAATGATGTTGCATAAGAAATTACAGACAAATTAATATAATTTTTATATAAATAATTAATTATATTTTAATATAATAAGATGATAATGTATTCGAGTTATGTTTGTAAGAGTATATTTAATTTAAAAGCATTTATTGTCATACATCTTAAATTTAAACGAAATTCTTCGCTCGCTTCTACGCTATATTTAAATGAATGTTAAAGTTTTCATTTAAATGGGATCATAGGTCTGTTTAGCATTTAAATAGGTAAATAATAAATGCATTTAAATATCTTGTAATATTAATTTTTCAATTTTGTATCTATAAGTCTATGCAAATCATTGCTACCATGATCATTTACATACATTTTGAATTTAATACCATATAATACTCAATAGCAACCCTAAATCTTGCTAGACTTATGGGTTGTAAAGTGAACTGGAAACTACAAATGCGAAGTGATCTGAAGTAAATTCGACATATAAAAGACTTAGTTTTGTATTAAAAAAGTAATTTATATAAAATTATAGAAGGATGCTATACAACGGAACATAAATCGAGAATATTTCAATCGTACATTTTATATCTTTCCCAACATTTCCCCTTTTTTCGCCAAAAAATGCTGTTGAAAGGACTACAAACCTTATCCAACTCCCACTTTCCTAATACTTTTCTGTATATAAAAATAAAATGAGGAGGAAAACAACAATTCGTTTGTTGACTACTTTAGAAACTTTACTATCTGTTATTTAACTGTTCGATTTAAAAGTAGAATAATATTATTTTTTTTATTTTTTTACATTCTTAACTTTATGGCTTTCCACCATTCCCGAGAATGTGAGAAACGAACCATTTTAAAACCCGAAGTTTTGTGAAACATTCAAAGGCAAGACTCGAAAAATAATACTAGTGCTATCTACGTTTTAAATTGACTTTTATAGCTTACAGCCACCTTTCCTACCACTTTTAGCTTGCCTCATTTCTCGTCCTCACTTGCACTATTATCACCCTTGCTAGCGAGTGTATCGCTGAAGCGAAACTCATCTGCCTTGTGAAATTTCTTACGCAACACACTACACATCATGATTGCCTGCAATGAAAACATCTGCACAACTTCAAACTAGAAGAAGGGTGGGAGGTAACAGGGGATGGAGCCATCGGTCCATATCCGGAACATTCAACTTGGTGATTGCCTATAATGTTGTTAGCGGGCCTGATGTCACTATCACCCCCCATTAATACTTAAACATTAGCCTGAGATGCAAATCTCTCCCCTGTACTACGCCCGTTTCTATCAAGTGTTTCATTTCTTACACTTGTTCTCATTCATTTCCCACTCTTCTGCTTTAATTAAGGAGTTTTGGCCGTATGGGGCGGAGCCGCTTTTAAAATGCAGAAGAGCAGATTACTGATCCCTCCAACTGCTTGTGATAGGTCGATGTCTGTTATATTTTAGAAAGAAGTGCATCTTCTACATGTGTAAATATTTGATGGAAGTGTGAAGGCAATCAAATAGAATGTGTTTTTTTGCAAATGTAGGGCCCTGTTTGGTGCAATTACCTCGAGAAATCTATATTTTATGCTTTTGTTTGTTTACATATATATAGCATTCTATAGAATTTTCGCATCTCCAAAGATTTATAAGCAATAAATTAACCCATTGATATTACAAAACTTTTTACGCCATTAAAATTTTCAAATTTCAGACAATAAAATTGCAATAATAAAATCATAATTACATTAAATTTAAAAATAATCTTAACTTATATTAATTAAAAAAATTAAATATTATCTAATTTCTATAATTTATATCAATATATAAGAACAATAAAACAAATTCATTTGCAATAAAAAAAATTCTTAAAAAATATATTTAAATCCAATGCTGATTTGAAATAAACGAGAACAATTAAATCAGATTATTTAAAGCTATTTAATGTCATTAATTTTCTAAACCTGAAGCGAATTAAGTAAAAAAAAAATTAGACAATTAAAAGTTGTTCTTGGATCTCCTTCAATCCCGTAATGTCTCATTAAGCCTGTAGGAAGTAATAAAATTTTTATTAAAATGAGAAAGGCTCGAGAGCCTTTCAAATACGATTTTAAATGCTTACATTAATCTTTAGAAGACAATTAAAAAGTTTATCATTGAAAGTATAGCTTACCAGAATAATAATATCGAATATTTGAGATTGATATCAACCTCATTAGAAACTATTTTAATCGCATTGAAACTGATACGAAACTTAAGTATTAATGCGGTTTTCATTACATCCTAACTTTATTTTAAAGAATTATACAGCTACGAATAGATAAAGGTGATAAAATACATAATGGAAAAAGTTTCCTGCTTCAATTATTAAAAAAAAAAAGAAAAAAATATAGAAAATAAGATTACACTAGCACTCTTTTAATATTCATAAATAATGGATAAAATGCTATTTAGGCAAAGAATCGAAAGAGTGGCAATTTTCTCCCTTTCCCCTTCTGCAAAATCAATTTAGAAAGGTTAACCAAGATAGACCTGTACTACTTTCTTGTTAATAAAATTATTACACATATAGTCATCTGGTATGTGTTCGGATGGGGAATAAAGCAGACCTTAATTGGAATGAACAGACAGCATGATATATTGAACAAATCAGTTACTGGACTTTATATTTTTTAAATGATAAATTACAAGATTTTTTATTTTATTTTTAAAGAATTTATCGAAATCGTGCAGATGAGATTGCTTAAAATTTATTGATTAGGAGATCTGCATCTCATCTTCCCCGCTTTGGCTGTCAAGAAGGATTTTGTGAGTGTCCAGGGAACGCATAAACTCATTTTTTTAAGTTTATAAATCAGAATTTGTGCTTCAAAAAGTGGCACCGATTGTTTAGCCTATATAACCCTCATATTAATGACTTTTTAAAGGGCTTCTAAACTCTGTTTCCAGCTACAAATGTCATCCTTAATTAGATTTGATTTTTTGTTTATTATAATTTTTTTTTTCAAAAGTTTAAGCTGCACATCTTTATTTTTATTTAAACAAGACTTCGTTTTTTAAAACTTCTTAACAATTATTATTGACTTTAAATGAATCATCTTTACACAGAATTAATACACATCTTTACACAGAAATCTAGCAATTGTAAGCCGTTATATGTTAACTTGATAGTTAAATGTATTTTTAAACATTATTTTTTTAAAGATAAATATAAAATTATACAGGAAAGTTAGTCTATATTTAATTATTTAAATCATTCTAACGGAATTTCCAGATAGAGATTTTAGGTTTATATTTTGACAATCTCTTCAATAGAATTTTGAATTTTCAGTTTCTCCTTCGAGAAAAACGAAAATGACAATCAGTATCAAATTATTCTTATTATCTAATGAAAGAATAAGGTTTTTACAGATTAAATAAATAAATAAATAAATTTCTTTCATCAGTTCTTTTGATGTTTTACAAGGAAATATGCAATGTTAAAATTGTATTAAATATTTGACAATAAAAAAAATTTATTAAACTTTTAAAATTTACAATTGAAATGAAGAAATATTTTAAAGCAATCTTATAAATTTTTCGTCATTAACCGGTTATTTTTTACATTACATTATAAAATGTAAGCGTTATGTGCAATACATTACAGGCGAACTTTAATGAACGTGTAGGAGTAGGCCTATAATTTAATACGTATTTAATAAATAAAAACTGTAAATAGATTTATAGGAAATCTTCCTGCCAAATAATCAAGTTAAATTTTATTTCTATCGTCTATATTTTTATATAGATTTATCAGAAATAAATCACTGATAAATTGTAAGCATAAAATTGTCAATCGTGTCGAGAGAATTATAAAATTTAATCAATGGTCTTTTCAAACTGGTTAAATCCATTTAAGCTATTTTGAAATTTTGTTTTTATTCGTCAAATGAATAAAAGAAGATAAAATTATTGTGTGTGATAAGATATAGGTTCAAAACATTAGGCTATTTTAAATGATTTTACAAATTCATCAAATTAGCAATAAATTTTTTTCAGAAATTTTAATCATTTCTCTTCTTTTCACTGGAAAGTTTTCATTTACAAGGCAAAGTTTTACTCAAAATAACTTTGTAAATTATATTAATTTCTTTAAAAAAATTATTTATATTCTACTAGGCCTAACTTAATCATAGTTTATTCAATAAATGTTGATAATATAGCATAAAACGATAAAGTAAAAAGTAAAATTTTGTAAATTTTCGTAGAAAATTCTCTCGACTGATAATAAAAGAAAGTAAAGTTTTAATTTATTGAATAACGAAAAAAGTTTATATTTTTTACTAAATAATTTCGGTTTTTTTTATTATAGAAGTAGAAATAACCTAATCTTAAGATTATGTTTAATAGCTATGTTTATACAGTATAATAATGGATTAAACTTTATCTACTAGGAGAATGTTTCCAACGCTGAGAATATCGTTTAGCGGAGTGGAGAGCCACACCAAATATGCAGTGCTACTGGATATCGTGCCCATAGACAATAAGAGGTATCGTTATGCCTATCATCGATCATCGTGGCTAGTGGCAGGCAAAGCAGATCCCCCCTCTCCTGCTCGCCTCTACCTCCATCCCGACTCTCCTTTCACAGGAGACCAACTTCGCAAGCAAGTTGTGTCTTTTGAGAAAGTAAAACTGACAAATAATGAGATGGATAAACAAGGGCATGTAAGTTACCTACAAAAATGCTTTCGTAGATCTATTTTCCTTATTTATCATTTTACATTTTGACTATTGAGTTTCTAATGTAAACTAATAATGTGCCTATCAATCTTTGCCATTTTTTTTTGTTGTTGTTTTAGAAACTTAATTGTTATTTTATATTAATTCTATATTTTTTTTTTTTACTATTAAGATTCGGCAATTTTTCTTTTAGATTTCTGTGTAGATCAATAATATTCGGGTGATGCTCTAAAAATATTTTTTTCGTTTTGAATAATGCTGTAAAATAGCGTACTATCACCTATAACGTATTGATTGAAGCAGGAAAATGAAGGATTACGCCGAAAATTATTTGAATAATCTAAGATATATGGGAATGAAAGATAAATGATTTCAAAAAAAAAAAAGAAAAACGATATTTGTTTGCGATAATTTGATTCATTTCTTTGGTAAATGAATAAGAAAATAATGTTAAAATTAGAAATTTTTACATTAGTTACAGAAGGAAAGAAAAAACATTCAAATTATTACAGTAAAACCTTTCTAAAACGGAACCTTAATAAAACGAAAACCTGTCTAAACGGAAAAAATTCTTAGAAACTCAGCTGTTTTCTGTGTTTAAAAAAACCTATTCAAAACGGAAATTCTGCTAAACTGGAAAAAAATATTCGCCACTATACGAGTCCGTTTACACAAGTTTAACTGTAATAATACAGGAGGAATGCAAATATAGGTATACAATTGTAAATCTGAGAAATACAGATGTTTGGTGCAGAGTTCATTACAGTATTACTATTTTGTATTTCTTATTTATCATTTACGCATAAGAATTAATGATTTTCTCTTCTACTTTTTTTCCTTCCATAATAAAAATTGTATACTTACTTTCGCACCCCTTTGTATAATAATACCAATGTAATATTTTATTCCTTTTTTACAGATGAAATTACTTATTTTTATCGTCATTCCGTTTCTTAATTTAAATATGAGTTTATTCATTTTAAAAATAGATTAAATGGAAAAATTATACCACACAATAATATTTGAATTTTAATAAGTATTTAATTAACCTTTATAATATTGTTAAAGTTTACCAATTCAAAATTTTTCGCTTAATTTACATGGATAATAGGCCTAACATTTATTGCTATCTTTAACTCCATGCGCGATATTACATAAATAATTCGTGTTTTCGACTATTAATGCGTTTTTATTCTAACTTAATAAGCTTTAAAATCTTAAGGAAATTGTTTTATTAATAAAAATACGCTAAAAATTAAATAATTTTAAGTATTTACTGCTCTATAGATCCAAGAGCAAGTTGCATTTTCAATTCAAAAACTCGATTAAGGATTAAATTTCGTTAGTATTAAAATCTGCTATAAGTAATTAATTAGAAACTCGTTTAAATTTTAATTCGACAATAATAATAATAATAATATCTTTACATAGGAAGGTAGAACTACGTTTCTTATATTTGTTTATCAAGTTTAGGCTTTCAACATTATTTGTATAGGGTAAATAAACAGCAGTTTTATTAGGCAATATTCTCTTCTACAGATAGTGCTTAACTCAATGCACAAGTACCAGCCAAGAATCCATCTCATCCGACTTCGATCCGATAGTTCGAGTCCGCCCTTGATTACCGACTTGGAAGCAGAATTATATAGAACTTATATCTTCCCAGAAACGGTTTTTACTGCAGTTACAGCATATCAAAATCAACTGGTAAGAACTTTTTAATCTCAAATATCAACTTTATAACGTATTAATTCGAAAATAAGTTATGTAAATTTTATAATTTAAATATTTTTTTGATCATTCCAACGTAAATTTCTCGAGATAGATTATCAGATTCAATGGCCTGTGTGCTGTTCTTTACCCCCCTTTTTTTTCTTTCGTAACTTAATGTGTTGGGTTTAATTGCCATTTTTAGAGATTTTACTTTAAGAATAAATGCTATTTATAGTAAAAAGCTTGACACCTGCCACTATTTAGATTGTATTTTTGTCAAAACTCGTCTTGTATCTAGTTTCTTTCTTAGTTAAATGATTGATGTGAAATTAAATTGTTAAGTTATAGCCTATATCAAAAGAACTATAATATGACTATTAAAAAATATTAAATTCTTTTACTTAAAAAAATTTTTAAATAAATTTCTAAATGGTTTAATTTTTATTACTATTTTTTAAAATAATATTAAGTATAATGATAAAAGTTACGCCTTTCTCTACTAGATATTAACTATCGAACAGACATTCAAAGCTTCTTTAATTTCTTTACTTAATATTTTCGTTATTTTTAACTATTATACTAAATAAATTTATTTTCTCTTAACTTTATTTAAGCAAAATTCATTTATACATGGCGCATTTTCTTGTTAAAGGCGAGAGATGGCGGATGTCTTTCCTTAACCAAAAATTTAAAAGAAATAGGTCTATGTAAAGAAAATTTTTAATAACTTCTTTAAGAAATTAAGCATTTTTGATATAAACCAATTCTTATTTATTTATTTACAATAGTAATTTTATGCACAAATCTATACTCCTTTAAAATAATACCTGGATACGCCACTAGGCCTAACTGAGCGCTAGTTAAATACGAAGTAAAACTAAGTAATTTAAAAGAAATTTTAGAATAATTCGGCTTTAATTATTTTGATAATTAGCTATTTGATAAAACCGTAATGTATATCAATATAATTTTTATTTTTATGTGCATAGATTACAAAGTTAAAAATCGACAGTAATCCATTTGCCAAAGGTTTTCGAGATTCTTCACGACTCACTGATCTGGAGAGGTAAGATGATGTACTAAAATATTTAATAACATGATAAAAGCGCATTTAATCGATTAATTATTTAATAATAACGCTTATTATTTATCTAATTCTATTTTATTGATGATTTCTTTAAAGTTTTAAAACTGTGTAAAAAAAAGGCAGTTCATCTACCTTAGTTCTACGAAAAATCAAGTTTTTCATTTTCTTTCTTTTTACTATGCAATTTACTATGTCAAATGATAAGTCACCTGAACATAACAAATTGTCAGCACTGTCTTTGGCATATAAAAAATATATCTAACTCTTTATCTCGTGTAATTGGAATGGAAAAAATAAAAACTCCAAAGAATATTTTACATAAAGAATAATGAATAGGTCAAGTTTCTACTGAATTAAAAAAGAAATAAATATAAATTATACACGTGTGCTATGACTACAGTTTGATCTGAATATATTAATATAATACTAGGTGTCTTTTGAGAAAGTAAAACTGACAAATAATGAGATGGATAAACAAGGGCATGTAAGTTACCTACAAAAATGCTTTCGTAGATCTATTTTCCTTATTTATCATTTTACATTTTGACTGTTGAGTTTCTAATGTAAACTAATAATGTGCCTATCAATCTTTGCCATTTTTTTTGTTGTTGTTTTAGAAACTTAATTGTTATTTTATATTAATTCTATATTTTTTTTTTACTATTAAGATTCGGCAATTTTTCTTTTAGATTTCTGTGTAGATCAATAATATTCGGGTGATGCTCTAAAAATATTTTTTTCGTTTTGAATAATGCTGTAAAATAGCGTACTATCACCTATAACGTATTGATTGAAGCAGGAAAATGAAGGATTACGCCGAAAATTATTTGAATAATCTAAGATATATGGGAATGAAAGATAAATGGATTTCAAAAAAAAAAAAGAAAAACGATATTTGTTTGCGATAATTTGATTCATTTCTTTGGTAAATGAATAAGAAAATAATGTTAAAATTAGAAATTTTTACATTAGTTACAGAAGGAAAGAAAAAACATTCAAATTATTACAGTAAAACCTTTCTAAAACGGAACCTTAATAAAACGAAAACCTGTCTAAACGGAAAAAATTCTTAGAAACTCAGCTGTTTTCTGTGTTTAAAAAAACCTATTCAAAACGGAAATTCTGCTAAACTGGAAAAAAATATTCGCCACTATACGAGTCCGTTTACACAAGTTTAACTGTAATAATACAGGAGGAATGCAAATATAGGTATACAATTGTAAATCTGAGAAATACAGATGTTTGGTGCAGAGTTCATTACAGTATTACTATTTTGTATTTCTTATTTATCATTTACGCATAAGAATTAATGATTTTCTCTTCTACTTTTTTTCCTTCCATAATAAAAATTGTATACTTACTTTCGCACCCCTTTGTATAATAATACCAATGTAATATTTTATTCCTTTTTTACAGATGAAATTACTTATTTTTATCGTCATTCCGTTTCTTAATTTAAATATGAGTTTATTCATTTTAAAAATAGATTAAATGGAAAAATTATACCACACAATAATATTTGAATTTTAATAAGTATTTAATTAACCTTTATAATATTGTTAAAGTTTACCAATTCAAAATTTTTCGCTTAATTTACATGGATAATAGGCCTAACATTTATTGCTATCTTTAACTCCATGCGCGATATTACATAAATAATTCGTGTTTTCGACTATTAATGCGTTTTTATTCTAACTTAATAAGCTTTAAAATCTTAAGGAAATTGTTTTATTAATAAAAATACGCTAAAAATTAAATAATTTTAAGTATTTACTGCTCTATAGATCCAAGAGCAAGTTGCATTTTCAATTCAAAAACTCGATTAAGGATTAAATTTCGTTAGTATTAAAATCTGCTATAAGTAATTAATTAGAAACTCGTTTAAATTTTAATTCGACAATAATAATAATAATAATATCTTTACATAGGAAGGTAGAACTACGTTTCTTATATTTGTTTATCAAGTTTAGGCTTTCAACATTATTTGTATAGGGTAAATAAACAGCAGTTTTATTAGGCAATATTCTCTTCTACAGATAGTGCTTAACTCAATGCACAAGTACCAGCCAAGAATCCATCTCATCCGACTTCGATCCGATAGTTCGAGTCCGCCCTTGATTACCGACTTGGAAGCAGAATTATATAGAACTTATATCTTCCCAGAAACGGTTTTTACTGCAGTTACAGCATATCAAAATCAACTGGTAAGAACTTTTTAATCTCAAATATCAACTTTATAACGTATTAATTCGAAAATAAGTTATGTAAATTTTATAATTTAAATATTTTTTTGATTATTCCAACGTAAATTTCTCGAGATAGATTATCAGATTCAATGGCCTGTGTGCTGTTCTTTACCCCCCTTTTTTTTCTTTCGTAACTTAATGTGTTGGGTTTAATTGCCATTTTTAGAGATTTTACTTTAAGAATAAATGCTATTTATAGTAAAAAGCTTGACACCTGCCACTATTTAGATTGTATTTTTGTCAAAACTCGTCTTGTATCTAGTTTCTTTCTTAGTTAAATGATTGATGTGAAATTAAATTGTTAAGTTATAGCCTATATCAAAAGAACTATAATATGACTATTAAAAAATATTAAATTCTTTTACTTAAAAAAATTTTTAAATAAATTTCTAAATGGTTTAATTTTTATTACTATTTTTTAAAATAATATTAAGTATAATGATAAAAGTTACGCCTTTCTCTACTAGATATTAACTATCGAACAGACATTCAAAGCTTCTTTAATTTCTTTACTTAATATTTTCGTTATTTTTAACTATTATACTAAATAAATTTATTTTCTCTTAACTTTATTTAAGCAAAATTCATTTATACATGGCGCATTTTCTTGTTAAAGGCGAGAGATGGCGGATGTCTTTCCTTAACCAAAAATTTAAAAGAAATAGGTCTATGTAAAGAAAATTTTTAATAACTTCTTTAAGAAATTAAGCATTTTTGATATAAACCAATTCTTATTTATTTATTTACAATAGTAATTTTATGCACAAATCTATACTCCTTTAAAATAATACCTGGATACGCCACTAGGCCTAACTGAGCGCTAGTTAAATACGAAGTAAAACTAAGTAATTTAAAAGAAATTTTAGAATAATTCGGCTTTAATTATTTTGATAATTAGCTATTTGATAAAACCGTAATGTATATCAATATAATTTTTATTTTTATGTGCATAGATTACAAAGTTAAAAATCGACAGTAATCCATTTGCCAAAGGTTTTCGAGATTCTTCACGACTCACTGATCTGGAGAGGTAAGATGATGTACTAAAATATTTAATAACATGATAAAAGCGCATTTAATCGATTAATTATTTAATAATAACGCTTATTATTTATCTAATTCTATTTTATTGATGATTTCTTTAAAGTTTTAAAACTGTGTAAAAAAAAGGCAGTTCATCTACCTTAGTTCTACGAAAAATCAAGTTTTTCATTTTCTTTCTTTTTACTATGCAATTTACTATGTCAAATGATAAGTCACCTGAACATAACAAATTGTCAGCACTGTCTTTGGCATATAAAAAATATATCTAACTCTTTATCTCGTGTAATTGGAATGGAAAAAATAAAAACTCCAAAGAATATTTTACATAAAGAATAATGAATAGGTCAAGTTTCTACTGAATTAAAAAAGAAATGAATATAAATTATACACGTGTGCTATGACTACAGTTTGATCTGAATATATTAATATAATACTAGGTTTTAATAATAATTATACGAATTATTATTTTATTAGTTAAACAAGTTTTTTGATTAATAAAAAAAAAACATGCAAATAAATGTTTGTCTCGTTTCTTTTACTTAATAAACTTTGAATTTATGAATGTTTATACAGAAAATAAAGCTTTAGAAAGTTAAATTCGACCCTCTCGTATTGATTTTTTTCTTTTGTTAAACTTGCATAACGAAGAAATAACATTAGTGGTCCCGTTTCTTTAACATCTGCATCCTTCTCTCACTTTGTGTGTCTCATAATAAATTATCCTTTCACTATCCCCGCAGTCCATTATTATATACGTCTAGCGTTAAGAGGCGTTGTTTAGACTGATGATAACATGCTTTATTTTTTATAACGAGGTTAATTTAAGGTAGAAGAAAGAAATATTCCATTAGTAGAATTCGTATTGACATCTAGTAACAGTTACTTCCATTCTATACAATAATTAGGCTCACTACATTTTATTTCTGTTGTAAATAAGTTCCTTCACGATACAGTTAACGAAGAAAGACTAACTAAAGACGTAAAAGACTTTTATTGTCGGGCAGACTCGCAATTTTATCACCTTTTGGACCATTAAAGTCACATTAAAGAAGCAACCGAGTTGCAAAAAAATATCAACAGGTGTTGATACTAGAGTTAAAATATCGATCATCATTTTTATATCTTTAATTTAAAAATTTCATAAAAAATTAATTTAATTTAATATACTTTTTAGGGAATCCGTTGAAACTTTATTAAGAGAACATGCTTTTCGACATTCTCCGTTTAGAGCTTTGGTCACTGGAGATTTAACTGCTGAACCTACTTTGGCAGGGACTTCAGGTATATGGATTTTCATTATAAAAAAAAAATGACATAAATTAAATGTAATTTTTATTATAGGTCTACATAATTGCATTCAGAGTAAATCTCCATAAGAAAAATTTGTTTAAATAGTATTAGGAATTAAAATTCACTTCATTAAACGTGAAAAACTGAAAAAATAATCATAAAATAAGTCTATTTTATCGGAATTCTGTGTTATTATTTACGTAATGAAACTAAATAGATAATATGCTAATGATAATTTGTAAAAAAGTATCTTTAAATGTTAGTCGAGAATGCGTAAGTAAGATTTATTTAATAAGGAAAAAAAAAAAATAGAAATTTTAGGCGTAATTTTATTTTATAATAACATAAAACGATTTTATGATTAACTTATTTTTTAAAATGTAGTATTTTCTTAATATATAATAGGATTGACTCGTCTCCCAACTAACAGCGAGTTACTTCTAATGGCCAGTCAAGGAGCGGTACCTTGGAAATTTCCTCATGTGCCTGCATTAAGTGTAGCCGATTTGTCATCAATAATGTCATCCCATCCCCAAACTGCTGCTAATTTTGCTAGCTTCTATTTTGGACTTCCTCGGACATTTATTCCACCTTTATCGTTATTAAATACTAACAACGGATCCTCTCCTACAGAACCAGGAACATCGTCGTCGTCGGGTACATATAACAGATCTTATCCTGGTCTTCCAACAGGATCAAATTTGTACGCATCTCGTTTACATCTAGGAGGGATTTATCCTGGACTAAGGTTTCATCCTTATCTACAACCTCGACTTTTACAACCGTCTTCTTCCAAATCTTCTTTAGATTCCTCCGAATGCGATGGACTAGCGCCTCAAGTTTGATCTTAGAGTTCCTAGAGGCGTCATTAATCTTCCTGGATTATGGATATTTGTATATTTGAAACGACATTCCAGTAAAATCGATTGTACATATATATAAATATATACAGTATATACTAGAGGGTTTGGTGATTTTTGGCAGGAATGGTCCTCCGGTTAAGCTTCTTTGCATAGCTCACACTAGTCCAGGTTTATCGCGTTTGTGAACTTTGAAAAAGTGCAATATGGTGTTGGAATTTATTTTAAAATATTAAAACACTGGTACATATCTTAAATGATTTTTTTTTATCTCGTGAAAATTCTATCTTATCCAAATTGTACATAGGCCTATATATAATTTTCTTCTTTAAGAATTGTAATGCTTACTACCTCACTTCTCTGACATATCCCTCAAAACATTTGAAGGAAATTTTGGTTAGAATTGTATTGTTTCACAAACAGAAAGACAAAAAAAAAAGTTAAATTAAAAANCAGACAAATTAATATAATTTTTATATAAATAATTAATTATATTTTAATATAATAAGATGATAATGTATTCGAGTTATGTTTGTAAGAGTATATTTAATTTAAAAGCATTTATTGTCATACATCTTAAATTTAAACGAAATTCTTCGCTCGCTTCTACGCTATATTTAAATGAATGTTAAAGTTTTCATTTAAATGGGATCATAGGTCTGTTTAGCATTTAAATAGGTAAATAATAAATGCATTTAAATATCTTGTAATATTAATTTTTCAATTTTGTATCTATAAGTCTATGCAAATCATTGCTACCATGATCATTTACATACATTTTGAATTTAATACCATATAATACTCAATAGCAACCCTAAATCTTGCTAGACTTATGGGTTGTAAAGTGAACTGGAAACTACAAATGCGAAGTGATCTGAAGTAAATTCGACATATAAAAGACTTAGTTTTGTATTAAAAAAGTAATTTATATAAAATTATAGAAGGATGCTATACAACGGAACATAAATCGAGAATATTTCAATCGTACATTTTATATCTTTCCCAACATTTCCCCTTTTTTCGCCAAAAAATGCTGTTGAAAGGACTACAAACCTTATCCAACTCCCACTTTCCTAATACTTTTCTGTATATAAAAATAAAATGAGGAGGAAAACAACAATTCGTTTGTTGACTACTTTAGAAACTTTACTATCTGTTATTTAACTGTTCGATTTAAAAGTAGAATAATATTATTTTTTTTATTTTTTTACATTCTTAACTTTATGGCTTTCCACCATTCCCGAGAATGTGAGAAACGAACCATTTTAAAACCCGAAGTTTTGTGAAACATTCAAAGGCAAGACTCGAAAAATAATACTAGTGCTATCTACGTTTTAAATTGACTTTTATAGCTTACAGCCACCTTTCCTACCACTTTTAGCTTGCCTCATTTCTCGTCCTCACTTGCACTATTATCACCCTTGCTAGCGAGTGTATCGCTGAAGCGAAACTCATCTGCCTTGTGAAATTTCTTACGCAACACACTACACATCATGATTGCCTGCAATGAAAACATCTGCACAACTTCAAACTAGAAGAAGGGTGGGAGGTAACAGGGGATGGAGCCATCGGTCCATATCCGGAACATTCAACTTGGTGATTGCCTATAATGTTGTTAGCGGGCCTGATGTCACTATCACCCCCCATTAATACTTAAACATTAGCCTGAGATGCAAATCTCTCCCCTGTACTACGCCCGTTTCTATCAAGTGTTTCATTTCTTACACTTGTTCTCATTCATTTCCCACTCTTCTGCTTTAATTAAGGAGTTTTGGCCGTATGGGGCGGAGCCGCTTTTAAAATGCAGAAGAGCAGATTACTGATCCCTCCAACTGCTTGTGATAGGTCGATGTCTGTTATATTTTAGAAAGAAGTGCATCTTCTACATGTGTAAATATTTGATGGAAGTGTGAAGGCAATCAAATAGAATGTGTTTTTTTGCAAATGTAGGGCCCTGTTTGGTGCAATTACCTCGAGAAATCTATATTTTATGCTTTTGTTTGTTTACATATATATAGCATTCTATAGAATTTTCGCATCTCCAAAGATTTATAAGCAATAAATTAACCCATTGATATTACAAAACTTTTTACGCCATTAAAATTTTCAAATTTCAGACAATAAAATTGCAATAATAAAATCATAATTACATTAAATTTAAAAATAATCTTAACTTATATTAATTAAAAAAATTAAATATTATCTAATTTCTATAATTTATATCAATATATAAGAACAATAAAACAAATTCATTTGCAATAAAAAAAATTCTTAAAAAATATATTTAAATCCAATGCTGATTTGAAATAAACGAGAACAATTAAATCAGATTATTTAAAGCTATTTAATGTCATTAATTTTCTAAACCTGAAGCGAATTAAGTAAAAAAAAAATTAGACAATTAAAAGTTGTTCTTGGATCTCCTTCAATCCCGTAATGTCTCATTAAGCCTGTAGGAAGTAATAAAATTTTTATTAAAATGAGAAAGGCTCGAGAGCCTTTCAAATACGATTTTAAATGCTTACATTAATCTTTAGAAGACAATTAAAAAGTTTATCATTGAAAGTATAGCTTACCAGAATAATAATATCGAATATTTGAGATTGATATCAACCTCATTAGAAACTATTTTAATCGCATTGAAACTGATACGAAACTTAAGTATTAATGCGGTTTTCATTACATCCTAACTTTATTTTAAAGAATTATACAGCTACGAATAGATAAAGGTGATAAAATACATAATGGAAAAAGTTTCCTGCTTCAATTATTAAAAAAAAAAAGAAAAAAATATAGAAAATAAGATTACACTAGCACTCTTTTAATATTCATAAATAATGGATAAAATGCTATTTAGGCAAAGAATCGAAAGAGTGGCAATTTTCTCCCTTTCCCCTTCTGCAAAATCAATTTAGAAAGGTTAACCAAGATAGACCTGTACTACTTTCTTGTTAATAAAATTATTACACATATAGTCATCTGGTATGTGTTCGGATGGGGAATAAAGCAGACCTTAATTGGAATGAACAGACAGCATGATATATTGAACAAATCAGTTACTGGACTTTATATTTTTTAAATGATAAATTACAAGATTTTTTATTTTATTTTTAAAGAATTTATCGAAATCGTGCAGATGAGATTGCTTAAAATTTATTGATTAGGAGATCTGCATCTCATCTTCCCCGCTTTGGCTGTCAAGAAGGATTTTGTGAGTGTCCAGGGAACGCATAAACTCATTTTTTTAAGTTTATAAATCAGAATTTGTGCTTCAAAAAGTGGCACCGATTGTTTAGCCTATATAACCCTCATATTAATGACTTTTTAAAGGGCTTCTAAACTCTGTTTCCAGCTACAAATGTCATCCTTAATTAGATTTGATTTTTTGTTTATTATAATTTTTTTTTTCAAAAGTTTAAGCTGCACATCTTTATTTTTATTTAAACAAGACTTCGTTTTTTAAAACTTCTTAACAATTATTATTGACTTTAAATGAATCATCTTTACACAGAATTAATACACATCTTTACACAGAAATCTAGCAATTGTAAGCCGTTATATGTTAACTTGATAGTTAAATGTATTTTTAAACATTATTTTTTTAAAGATAAATATAAAATTATACAGGAAAGTTAGTCTATATTTAATTATTTAAATCATTCTAACGGAATTTCCAGATAGAGATTTTAGGTTTATATTTTGACAATCTCTTCAATAGAATTTTGAATTTTCAGTTTCTCCTTCGAGAAAAACGAAAATGACAATCAGTATCAAATTATTCTTATTATCTAATGAAAGAATAAGGTTTTTACAGATTAAATAAATAAATAAATAAATTTCTTTCATCAGTTCTTTTGATGTTTTACAAGGAAATATGCAATGTTAAAATTGTATTAAATATTTGACAATAAAAAAAATTTATTAAACTTTTAAAATTTACAATAGAAATGAAGAAATATTTTAAAGCAATCTTATAAATTTTTCGTCATTAACCGGTTATTTTTTACATTACATTATAAAATGTAAGCGTTATGTGCAATACATTACAGGCGAATTTTAATGAACGTGTAGGAGTAGGCCTATAATTTAATACGTATTTAATAAATAAAAACTGTAAATAGATTTATAGGAAATCTTCCTGCCAAATAATCAAGTTAAATTTTATTTCTATCGTCTATATTTTTATATAGATTTATCAGAAATAAATCACTGATAAATTGTAAGCATAAAATTGTCAATCGTGTCGAGAGAATTATAAAATTTAATCAATGGTCTTTACAAACTGGTTAAATCCATTTAAGCTATTTTGAAATTTTGTTTTTATTCGTCAAATGAATAAAAGAAGATAAAATTATTGTGTGTGATAAGATATAGGTTCAAAACATTAGGCTATTTTAAATGATTTTACAAATTCATCAAATTAGCAATAAATTTTTTTCAGAAATTTCAATCATTTCTCTTCTTTTCACTGGAAAGTTTTCATTTACAAGGCAAAGTTTTACTCAAAATAACTTTGTAAATTATATTAATTTCTTTAAAAAAATTATTTATATTCTACTAGGCCTAACTTAATCATAGTTTATTCAATAAATGTTGATAATATAGCATAAAACGATAAAGTAAAAAGTAAAATTTTGTAAATTTTCGTAGAAAATTCTCTCGACTGATAATAAAAGAAAGTAAAGTTTTAATTTATTGAATAACGAAAAAAGTTTATATTTTTTACTAAATAATTTCGGTTTTTTTTATTATAGAAGTAGAAATAACCTAATCTTAAGATTATGTTTAATAGCTATGTTTATACAGTATAATAATGGATTAAACTTTATCTACTAGGAGAATGTTTCCAACGCTGAGAATATCGTTTAGCGGAGTGGAGAGCCACACCAAATATGCAGTGCTACTGGATATCGTGCCCATAGACAATAAGAGGTATCGTTATGCCTATCATCGATCATCGTGGCTAGTGGCAGGCAAAGCAGATCCCCCCTCTCCTGCTCGCCTCTACCTCCATCCCGACTCTCCTTTCACAGGAGACCAACTTCGCAAGCAAGTTGTGTCTTTTGAGAAAGTAAAACTGACAAATAATGAGATGGATAAACAAGGGCATGTAAGTTACCTACAAAAATGCTTTCGTAGATCTATTTTCCTTATTTATCATTTTACATTTTGACTATTGAGTTTCTAATGTAAACTAATAATGTGCCTATCAATCTTTGCCATTTTTTTTTGTTGTTGTTTTAGAAACTTAATTGTTATTTTATATTAATTCTATATTTTTTTTTTTTACTATTAAGATTCGGCAATTTTTCTTTTAGATTTCTGTGTAGATCAATAATATTCGGGTGATGCTCTAAAAATATTTTTTTCGTTTTGAATAATGCTGTAAAATAGCGTACTATCACCTATAACGTATTGATTGAAGCAGGAAAATGAAGGATTACGCCGAAAATTATTTGAATAATCTAAGATATATGGGAATGAAAGATAAATGATTTCAAAAAAAAAAAAGAAAAACGATATTTGTTTGCGATAATTTGATTCATTTCTTTGGTAAATGAATAAGAAAATAATGTTAAAATTAGAAATTTTTACATTAGTTACAGAAGGAAAGAAAAAACATTCAAATTATTACAGTAAAACCTTTCTAAAACGGAACCTTAATAAAACGAAAACCTGTCTAAACGGAAAAAATTCTTAGAAACTCAGCTGTTTTCTGTGTTTAAAAAAACCTATTCAAAACGGAAATTCTGCTAAACTGGAAAAAAATATTCGCCACTATACGAGTCCGTTTACACAAGTTTAACTGTAATAATACAGGAGGAATGCAAATATAGGTATACAATTGTAAATCTGAGAAATACAGATGTTTGGTGCAGAGTTCATTACAGTATTACTATTTTGTATTTCTTATTTATCATTTACGCATAAGAATTAATGATTTTCTCTTCTACTTTTTTTCCTTCCATAATAAAAATTGTATACTTACTTTCGCACCCCTTTGTATAATAATACCAATGTAATATTTTATTCCTTTTTTACAGATGAAATTACTTATTTTTATCGTCATTCCGTTTCTTAATTTAAATATGAGTTTATTCATTTTAAAAATAGATTAAATGGAAAAATTATACCACACAATAATATTTGAATTTTAATAAGTATTTAATTAACCTTTATAATATTGTTAAAGTTTACCAATTCAAAATTTTTCGCTTAATTTACATGGATAATAGGCCTAACATTTATTGCTATCTTTAACTCCATGCGCGATATTACATAAATAATTCGTGTTTTCGACTATTAATGCGTTTTTATTCTAACTTAATAAGCTTTAAAATCTTAAGGAAATTGTTTTATTAATAAAAATACGCTAAAAATTAAATAATTTTAAGTATTTACTGCTCTATAGATCCAAGAGCAAGTTGCATTTTCAATTCAAAAACTCGATTAAGGATTAAATTTCGTTAGTATTAAAATCTGCTATAAGTAATTAATTAGAAACTCGTTTAAATTTTAATTCGACAATAATAATAATAATAATATCTTTACATAGGAAGGTAGAACTACGTTTCTTATATTTGTTTATCAAGTTTAGGCTTTCAACATTATTTGTATAGGGTAAATAAACAGCAGTTTTATTAGGCAATATTCTCTTCTACAGATAGTGCTTAACTCAATGCACAAGTACCAGCCAAGAATCCATCTCATCCGACTTCGATCCGATAGTTCGAGTCCGCCCTTGATTACCGACTTGGAAGCAGAATTATATAGAACTTATATCTTCCCAGAAACGGTTTTTACTGCAGTTACAGCATATCAAAATCAACTGGTAAGAACTTTTTAATCTCAAATATCAACTTTATAACGTATTAATTCGAAAATAAGTTATGTAAATTTTATAATTTAAATATTTTTTTGATCATTCCAACGTAAATTTCTCGAGATAGATTATCAGATTCAATGGCCTGTGTGCTGTTCTTTACCCCCCTTTTTTTTCTTTCGTAACTTAATGTGTTGGGTTTAATTGCCATTTTTAGAGATTTTACTTTAAGAATAAATGCTATTTATAGTAAAAAGCTTGACACCTGCCACTATTTAGATTGTATTTTTGTCAAAACTCGTCTTGTATCTAGTTTCTTTCTTAGTTAAATGATTGATGTGAAATTAAATTGTTAAGTTATAGCCTATATCAAAAGAACTATAATATGACTATTAAAAAATATTAAATTCTTTTACTTAAAAAAATTTTTAAATAAATTTCTAAATGGTTTAATTTTTATTACTATTTTTTAAAATAATATTAAGTATAATGATAAAAGTTACGCCTTTCTCTACTAGATATTAACTATCGAACAGACATTCAAAGCTTCTTTAATTTCTTTACTTAATATTTTCGTTATTTTTAACTATTATACTAAATAAATTTATTTTCTCTTAACTTTATTTAAGCAAAATTCATTTATACATGGCGCATTTTCTTGTTAAAGGCGAGAGATGGCGGATGTCTTTCCTTAACCAAAAATTTAAAAGAAATAGGTCTATGTAAAGAAAATTTTTAATAACTTCTTTAAGAAATTAAGCATTTTTGATATAAACCAATTCTTATTTATTTATTTACAATAGTAATTTTATGCACAAATCTATACTCCTTTAAAATAATACCTGGATACGCCACTAGGCCTAACTGAGCGCTAGTTAAATACGAAGTAAAACTAAGTAATTTAAAAGAAATTTTAGAATAATTCGGCTTTAATTATTTTGATAATTAGCTATTTGATAAAACCGTAATGTATATCAATATAATTTTTATTTTTATGTGCATAGATTACAAAGTTAAAAATCGACAGTAATCCATTTGCCAAAGGTTTTCGAGATTCTTCACGACTCACTGATCTGGAGAGGTAAGATGATGTACTAAAATATTTAATAACATGATAAAAGCGCATTTAATCGATTAATTATTTAATAATAACGCTTATTATTTATCTAATTCTATTTTATTGATGATTTCTTTAAAGTTTTAAAACTGTGTAAAAAAAAGGCAGTTCATCTACCTTAGTTCTACGAAAAATCAAGTTTTTCATTTTCTTTCTTTTTACTATGCAATTTACTATGTCAAATGATAAGTCACCTGAACATAACAAATTGTCAGCACTGTCTTTGGCATATAAAAAATATATCTAACTCTTTATCTCGTGTAATTGGAATGGAAAAAATAAAAACTCCAAAGAATATTTTACATAAAGAATAATGAATAGGTCAAGTTTCTACTGAATTAAAAAAGAAATAAATATAAATTATACACGTGTGCTATGACTACAGTTTGATCTGAATATATTAATATAATACTAGGTTTTAATAATAATTATACGAATTATTATTTTATTAGTTAAACAAGTTTTTTGATTAATAAAAAAAAAACATGCAAATAAACGTTTGTCTCGTTTCTTTTACTTAATAAACTTTGAATTTATGAATGTTTATACAGAAAATAAAGCTTTAGAAAGTTAAATTCGACCCTCTCGTATTGATTTTTTTCTTTTGTTAAACTTGCATAACGAAGAAATAACATTAGTGGTCCCGTTTCTTTAACATCTGCATCCTTCTCTCACTTTGTGTGTCTCATAATAAATTATCCTTTCACTATCCCCGCAGTCCATTATTATATACGTCTAGCGTTAAGAGGCGTTGTTTAGACTGATGATAACATGCTTTATTTTTTATAACGAGGTTAATTTAAGGTAGAAGAAAGAAATATTCCATTAGTAGAATTCGTATTGACATCTAGTAACAGTTACTTCCATTCTATACAATAATTAGGCTCACTACATTTTATTTCTGTTGTAAATAAGTTCCTTCACGATACAGTTAACGAAGAAAGACTAACTAAAGACGTAAAAGACTTTTATTGTCGGGCAGACTCGCAATTTTATCACCTTTTGGACCATTAAAGTCACATTAAAGAAGCAACCGAGTTGCAAAAAAATATCAACAGGTGTTGATACTAGAGTTAAAATATCGATCATCATTTTTATATCTTTAATTTAAAAATTTCATAAAAAATTAATTTAATTTAATATACTTTTTAGGGAATCCGTTGAAACTTTATTAAGAGAACATGCTTTTCGACATTCTCCGTTTAGAGCTTTGGTCACTGGAGATTTAACTGCTGAACCTACTTTGGCAGGGACTTCAGGTATATGGATTTTCATTATAAAAAAAAAATGACATAAATTAAATGTAATTTTTATTATAGGTCTACATAATTGCATTCAGAGTAAATCTCCATAAGAAAAATTTGTTTAAATAGTATTAGGAATTAAAATTCACTTCATTAAACGTGAAAAACTGAAAAAATAATCATAAAATAAGTCTATTTTATCGGAATTCTGTGTTATTATTTACGTAATGAAACTAAATAGATAATATGCTAATGATAATTTGTAAAAAAGTATCTTTAAATGTTAGTCGAGAATGCGTAAGTAAGATTTATTTAATAAGGAAAAAAAAAAAATAGAAATTTTAGGCGTAATTTTATTTTATAATAACATAAAACGATTTTATGATTAACTTATTTTTTAAAATGTAGTATTTTCTTAATATATAATAGGATTGACTCGTCTCCCAACTAACAGCGAGTTACTTCTAATGGCCAGTCAAGGAGCGGTACCTTGGAAATTTCCTCATGTGCCTGCATTAAGTGTAGCCGATTTGTCATCAATAATGTCATCCCATCCCCAAACTGCTGCTAATTTTGCTAGCTTCTATTTTGGACTTCCTCGGACATTTATTCCACCTTTATCGTTATTAAATACTAACAACGGATCCTCTCCTACAGAACCAGGAACATCGTCGTCGTCGGGTACATATAACAGATCTTATCCTGGTCTTCCAACAGGATCAAATTTGTACGCATCTCGTTTACATCTAGGAGGGATTTATCCTGGACTAAGGTTTCATCCTTATCTACAACCTCGACTTTTACAACCGTCTTCTTCCAAATCTTCTTTAGATTCCTCCGAATGCGATGGACTAGCGCCTCAAGTTTGATCTTAGAGTTCCTAGAGGCGTCATTAATCTTCCTGGATTATGGATATTTGTATATTTGAAACGACATTCCAGTAAAATCGATTGTACATATATATAAATATATACAGTATATACTAGAGGGTTTGGTGATTTTTGGCAGGAATGGTCCTCCGGTTAAGCTTCTTTGCATAGCTCACACTAGTCCAGGTTTATCGCGTTTGTGAACTTTGAAAAAGTGCAATATGGTGTTGGAATTTATTTTAAAATATTAAAACACTGGTACATATCTTAAATGATTTTTTTTTATCTCGTGAAAATTCTATCTTATCCAAATTGTACATAGGCCTATATATAATTTTCTTCTTTAAGAATTGTAATGCTTACTACCTCACTTCTCTGACATATCCCTCAAAACATTTGAAGGAAATTTTGGTTAGAATTGTATTGTTTCACAAACAGAAAGACAAAAAAAAAAGTTAAATTAAAAAAAATTATTCAAGTTTAATGTGTTTCTTTCAATAATTCCTTTTTTCATAAACATTATTATTATTATTTAAATAAACGTTAAAAAATTTATTTAATGCTCCATTTATAAGCTTAAGAAATTCAGAATTATAAAATCAAACTTTTTTAGAACTGGTTGTTACGGGATTTACTCTTTCATGGCACGTTAATTGTGATTTAATTATATTTTTACTACAATTTGAAATAAATATCTGTATATATTTTAAATTTATGATTATCGATTTAACTAATTTTATTTTAACTTAGAAGTTTAGAAATTAGAAATGGTGCATTAAGCAAGTAATTATGAATAAAAGAAATTTTGAAAATTAATTTTTTTATAATAAATTTCATTATTGTTAATTAAAAGATCTTTAATTCCGTTTCCACAGCAAATTATTGAAGTTGATTTTACTATAAATAAAGTTCAAATATTTATAATTAGTAACTGTTGATGATTAAAAGATTCTTACTTTTAGTTAATTTAAAGCTATATAAAATGGATTTTTTAGATTAAAATGTAGATATAATCTCTACAAAACTCAATTTTTTTTTACAATTATAACGCTCCTTTATACCTAAAGAAGTACATTACTTTCATACATTACAATTATGCAATGTCTCGTTCGCTACATCGATTTAATGCAAATTATATATACTGAATCCAATGATAACAGAAAATAAATTGCGTGCATTAAATATTTTCTACATAAATTAATTAATAATTTTTTAAGCATTTATTAATCTATAAAGCTTAAATTTAAACGCCAATTAATTATATTTTAACTCCTTATTAAGAAGCATTGATTCCTTATTCTTGTTTTCTAAGTCCTTAAATTTTTGTAACCAGATCTTCTAAAATATCGCAAAATTCTACTTCAATCGGCGGTAGTATAGACGATATTGTTATTTCACTTAATTTAATTAGTATTAGAATTTCAATCATGGCAACCATCCCATAAATTTTAAATAGTCTATCTTTTGGATTCAAATTACCAAATAAAGTAGCCCAAGTTTAACTTATAGCCTTAAAATTTATGAGGACTGAAGAACACCCGATAGGCTGCGAGTTATAGGGAGAGAGAAAGAGACCCTCTTCTACCCATGATGCCAGTCCCCGGTGTGAGGTCTCACACCTTTAGCCAGAAGAGAAACAACACCTCTAACTAGTTCAGAGATGTATTAGTCAATTTACGAGCAAAATTCAAAGGAGGGATTAAGTCTGTTCTGGAGTCTATAAAAATTTGAACCCTGCTGGCAACTTTTACATAGTTTCCTTTCAAAGACTTCTCGCGGTCTGAGAACCCTTAACTAAACGAATTGAAACTAAAATACTAAGACTTAGGTTATTCAGTTACATAAACTGAAACTACATTTAATTCCTAATTTAGGAATTAAACTTGAAAATTAGAGAAAAGACATAATTAGTAGGTTACTAGAATTATTAAGAATTCCTAAGTTTTCCTCTTTTTCACCTAATAAAAATTAAGTAAATTATCAGAAATGTATTTTTATTTTAGCAATTTAACACTTTTAAACTGTTTAATTATTGTAAACTTTAGCAAATAAAAATTAATTGTTAAAAATATTGAATAAATCTAAACAGGCGTAACTTATTCTTTATGAAATTAGGAGAATAACGATTTTCTATTACTGCAAAATTAATATAAATTAAATTAAAATAATAAGCTACATATATTGTACTTAACAACCTTCTATTTAAGTAAATTAATTATAGAAAATGCAATTTTTTAAATTACAAATCGTCATTTGAAATTTGACTTCGTAGGCCTATCATAAACAATGAATAAAATGAATAAATTATAGTTTTTCCTTTGGTTAAAGTATATAACGTTTATATAATATGTTTATAAAACTTGATATAAAAGAAGGCTTCAAATAGCTATAAAATTTTGCAATGGATACACGACATAATTTTGTACAAAAGGATTTATAATAGTATCTCTTTTTACCTATGTTAGAGCCTCATTTAGAGATTTTGAAGATAAGATATCTAACGCTATCGAAATATCTTTCCTTGTTTGATCAGCAGGACACTTTGAAAGCACTTAAAGACATAATTCTTTACTCCCACCACATGAATGTAACTTTAGAGTCAAACTGGGCCTGTCACATGACCTGTCATACTGAAAAGACAATAAACACAATTAGTGTCGTCTCAAATCTAAAATGTTCACCCCCTCTCGAGTCAACTATTATTTTCTTCTCTTTCCATAATTTACAAAACTTGATAGCAGTAAATACGCTATAAATAAACATTTAAAGCATTTACTGATCTAACAAGGTCAAAATCTCATATTTTATTTGTTAAAAGTGTGAGAAATTCTTCTATTTAATTTCGATTTAACCAAAAAACATGAGTAATTTGTATTCACAATGTAAGATTCTATTCGTTTCTACACATTATTTACGATAATTATTCATTTATTCCTCATAGAAAACTGCATATAGGACTATTAAAATGTTATTTACAAATTATAAAAGTTAAAGGTTAATAGCTTTTATTTAAATAATTACTAAAAAGTTTTTTTTAATGACTAAACGTGCATTAAAATTAATCAATTCATTACGCTCACTAATCAGAATTAACTATATTTTTTTTTACACTTAACGGCGAAACTTGATTGACTAAATCATTACGCTAACTGGTTTCGTGCAATAAAGTTAAAAGTGGATAGAGTTTTTGTATAAATTAGTTACATGTTAAAATACTTATTTTATTTTTAAATGAGTTTATGCAGCTTTAATAAGAAAATTATGGAAAAGGATGGCCTAAATTCGTATCATGTTTAGACTTATTAATTAACGAAATTTACATAAAATCAAATCTTTTGAAGTATTCTGTTACATATTTAGATCCAAAATACATCAAGTTAATAAAGTTAACGCTTGAAGAATTTAAAATTACGCTTCTAACTTAGTTAAACTTGCGTAATATTGGTTACTAGACTATTCTACATAAGTTAAATCTTAGAATTTTAGATCATATAGGTCTTAGAATTTTAATAGTCTTTAAACTGGAAATTTTACAAACAGTAGACGGGCCTATAAATGCTATCAGATATTTTGATAACTGCTTAATTAAAAAAATCTGATATTATAAAACGATGCAGTTGATGCATTTATATCTCATCCTAAATGTAATTTTGTAGGTGATCGGATTAAATATTGTTAATTTAAAGTCAATTTTTTAAAATTTAAAACCTACTTTTACTTTCTTTCACCTAAACAATTTAAATAAAGGCTTTTGTTTTATCTTTTTATTCAAGATCTACTTTATTAATGAATGTTTATGCGAACAAAATGTTCATCTCTTCATAAGAATTACCTTCGTATAACGTTTAATTACCATTATTATTAAAATATTTTAAAAGATAAAAACTTTGTAATAACCATTTTAAAAAAGAATTCATATGTGACACTAACGACTTCCGTTTGTTTTTAAACAGGAAACACTTCTCATAAATTTACTTACATTTGTAAGAACTATTGAATCAATCGTAAAATATGATTTTATTGTGATCAACGCCCAACATTTCCTGCATAATTTTATATTTATTGGCGTTCAACACGTTAAAAGGTTTCGAAACAACCTTTCTTTTCTATCGGCACTTACGCAATTTGAAAAAGTCAAACGTTATTTCTTTAATAACGTGCTTCAATAATCATTTTACAAACAAAATTAAAAATATATAGGCCTATATATTTAATTTTTTCATTAAATAATATTTTATTAATGAATATAAATAGAAAATTACAAATTGTGCTTTAATAGAAAACAATACATTAAGAACATTAGAAACTGATTTAGCAGCAAAGTATTAAAAGAAGCGTTTGTAGTATGCGTCCGAATTCGAATCCAGGATATATTGACGTCACACGCGCTTGTTTTAGTCTTAAATTGGATCTCCACAATAATTTGATTGCTGAGGGAATTGTGATTGTACTGTACTTTAATTTTTCTAAGCGTTATGCCACAAACACAATACTACAGTGGCTGTGATGTGTGTCAAAATAATTAGAAAAAAAAAATTATTCAACAAATTCTATCAGGAATAATATAATTTACAATACAAATTTTTGTATATGGTAATAAATAACGTATTGCGAAACAAAATTTGCAATTGAAATTGTCAAAAATATAAATAACATAAAACTGACATCAGATTTAATTTTTATGTTTCCTTAATTGCTCGATTCGTTATTTAAAAGAACTTAACTAGCCATTAATAGAGTGAATCTAATTAATAGGAATAAGCCAAGGTTAATTTGATCGTGTTTAAAGATAATTTGGTTACAACTGACTTAATAAATAACGATTCGGCAAGTCTATAGACCAAGCAAAACGCAAGCATTACCAACATTAAGGATATCCTTTATGGTTCTCATACACGATACGAATTTGTGTGAAACTCCCACATGCGATATTAGTAAGCATGAATTTATAAATGCAAAACAGGAAATCAAATAGATACGTTTGCATAAAAAAGGAAAAAATGTATTCCTATTTAAATTAGTTTTCGCATGGTCATTCGAATTTGAATTCTAAAAACGTAGCGAGTAATTGCGATCGCGATAAAGTTTCGCTTGCGATTTCCAATGCGATAAAAAAGTAGAAATTGTAAATTTCGTTCCTTTAAACATGTTTTTATTGTTTGTGGCCATCCAATGAAGAGGATTCGGTGCGGGTGTTTGGTCACCTCCAGTTTAGAGCTAATAAAATCTGCTTAATGACTTTGCAAGTGTGAATTGTTTAGAACGATTACTGCATTCGTGGCTCTACCACAAAGATTTTCACTCTTAAATTTGTATACTTAATGTTAATTCCGAATTTAATTGAACTCTTGCAGTTGCGAGTTTTAAATTATAATTGACGATTGCATAAATCAAAGAGGAAATAGAAAAAAAAAAATATATAAGTCGATAAATTGTCTCGATTGCTTGCAATTGTAATTAGAAAAGTAGAAGATAAGTTACAGTA